TTCAAAATGATAGTAATAGTTAAGATAATAATAATAATATAAATAAATCAACCTTCCTATAACAATGTATTTATGTAGGATATATTTAATTTGCCGAGTAGCCATATAAAATGTGAATAGAATAAAAATACATACATTTTTTTAAGGATTTTAATGAATGCGGATTATTTATCCTCTTTTTCTGTACCTGTTCAGAGATATCATTCTTAAAGAGTAACCCCTTTAATTAATAATTAAAACAAAATATAAATAATAGATTTCTTATTGTTGTTTGTTTTTAAATGTATATAAAATTTAATTAAACATTCATTTTGTGTCCACTACTTGTTATTAAAAGTTACTAGGAAATAAGAAAGTTTCAAATATATTGAAATTCTAGTAACATAGCTAAGCCGATATTGGTAATAGTAGTGCTCTACCTTTATCTTACCGGCTGAGATTTGATGGTAAGTTACCATCAGATCCCCAGTCGGTAAGTTCGGACGGTAAGTTACCATCAGATCCCCAGTCGGTAATTTCGGATGGTAATTTACCATCAGATCTCGGTCGGTAATTTTGGATGGTAACTTACCATCGGAACTCGACCGGTAAGTTACCATCAAATCTCGGCCGGTAAGATAAAAGTAGAGCACTACTATTACCAATATCGGCTTAGCTATGTTACTAGAATTTCAATATATCTGAAACTTTCTTATTTTCTAGTAACTTTTAATAGTAATTTACACAAACTGAATGTGTAATTAAATTCTATATACATTTAAAAACAAACAACAATTAGAAATCTATTATTGATATTTTGTTTTAATTATTATCTTTTTTTTTCTTACAATCTAGAGTTATTAATAATGTATTTAACACCAAGAAGAATATATTACAATCTTCTAAAACAATGTCAATGTTTTGTGACTACTTCAGCTACACAAGAAAAGAAATTTAAATGGATAGAACCGATGGGAGTAGATACCGGTATTAAATTATACAACCCAATTACAAAGACTAATGTTGCTTTAATATTAAGAAAAGAAGGTTTCTTAACGTGGTATATGTGCGGTCCAACAGTTTATGATTCTGCTCATATTGGACATGCAATGTAATATAACTTACTTTAATTATAAATGTATAACATTGATTATATTACTTCGTGTATATATATTAATATAATATTATTTTCTTTAGCACATACGTCAGATCTGACATTTTACGACGAATTCTATCAGAATATTTCAATATTCATACAATAATGATAATGGGTATTACCGATATTGATGATAAAATAATAAAACGAGCAGCAGAAAAAGGAATAGATTTTTGTGAATTATCTAAATTTTATGAAAATGAATTTTTTAACGATATGGAAATATTAAATGTTACAATGCCATATTTAATTTGTAGAGTTACCGAATATATACCTCAAATAATGAAGTTCATTGCTAATATTTTAGAAAAAAATGGGGCTTATATTGCAAAAGATGGTAAAGCCTTTATTTCTTTTTTCTTTTTATAATTTATTGCATATTTATATAATGCTTATTACATAATATTATATGTCATATAGGATCTGTATATTTTGATACCAAATCATATAATAAATATGGAAAATTAATAATTCCATTTGCGGATTCTAATCACTCGGATAAAAGATCGTCATTAGATTTTGCTTTATGGAAAGCAGCAAAAGATAAAGAACCGTATTGGGAATCCCCATGGGGTCGTGGAAGACCAGGATGGCATATAGAATGTAGCGTTATGGCAAGGTAATATTTGTGTTTCTACACAATTTTAACAAAATTTTATTTTGAACAAAAAAAAAGCAATAAAATTACAAATAAATAACTATGATCTTATTGTTAATTATTACTAGTGCAGTATTTGGAAAAACAATAGATATCCATAGTGGTGGAATTGATTTGATGTTTCCACATCATGAAAATGAAGAAGCACAATCATGTTGCTATCATAATGTAGAACAATGGGTAAATTATTGGTTACATTGTGGACACTTATGTTTAAAAGATAATATTAAAATGTCTAAAAGTTTAAAAAATACCATTAGCATAAAGAAATTTCTTGAAAGATACACAGCTAATGATTTAAGAATGTTATGTTTACTTTCTCATTATAGGAATGGTATGCATTTGTAAATTATTTTATTATAATTATTTTAATTTCATTATCTTATGCGTGTTGCACTTATTTCCTTTTTTTTTTCTTATAGATATTATATATTCGGATGATGTGATCGATCATGCTGTAAGTGTGATGAATAAGATAGAAAATTTTATTAGCGAATGTAATAATTATTTGACTGATAAAATAAATACCGGTAATGTAGATGAATCTACTTTGATTCATGTGAGTATAAATGTTTAATATGGGAGAAAGAAAAAAGAAATGGAAATATTACGTTTCTTTTAATGTATAAATTGTATTTTTATAGAACTTACACGAAACCAAAAGTATGGTACATATGGCTCTAAAAAATGATTTCCATACTGCACAAGCAATACGTGCAATTTTAAATCTAGTTGATATAAGTAATAAAATGCTTTCTCAAAATAATGTAAGCATTAGAAGATATTTTATTTTCTAAGAATATATACACAAGTGATATATTGTATAATGAATTATAAAATTCTTTTTTTATTATAGAGTACTTATAATAACAAAGGTAAAACTGCAATAGCTGCAGTTTCTGTATACATTTCAAATATACTTTCCATTTTTGGATTTACACAATCTAAATCTACAGTAGAAAATCGTCTATCCGAAGATATTGTTAAATATTTTGTTGAATTTAGAAATATTGTTAGAAATAGAATATTGGAACAAAAACAAAAAGACGAAGTTTTATTGCATGCATGCGACACAGCAAGAAAAAATTTATCCACTTGTGGAATTACTGTGAAGGTATAAAAATGACCATATAAAAAAAGAAAATTATTAATCACGATATTTTTTATTTATATGTAAATTATTCATATTTATAGGATCGTAAGGGTGTGTCTACGTGGGATTATCACAAAGTGACTTAAAATAAACACGACATTATTTAAGAATGGAAAAAAGGAAACTCTATTTAATTTTATTAAAATATATTTAAAAAGAATGATAAAGCATATATTATGACGCTATTTCATTTTCTGTATTTTTTAACTTTTTACTATTATTCTCATTATCGTCCAAACTTTTCCTTTTATTACTTTCTTTCTTTTCTGCTAATGTTTTCTTAAGACCTTTCAATTTTCTTGTTTGTATTTTATTAATATTCTGTGCACCGACGTGAATACGACCAAAAGTAGTTCCAAGAGCATTAGTAGAAATATTCTTCTTTTTCTTTACCTACAAATATAAATTTGTAATTATAATAATATAATTGAAATATGTAATTATTACAAGTATAGACATTACTTGTTGCTACGAGTAATCAGAAAAAAAAGAAATAGTAAAATTATTGTTACCTTAAGGTCTTTCGGTTTCTTACAAGCCTTATTAAAATGATCAGCAGAAGCTAATTTAGTACGTCTACACGAAAAATCAATAGACGGACCAATTTCTTCCAACTCAATACGTGGAATTCTAGTATTTGATTTTTTTAAAAGTATCCTAATACAATAAACGATACATTAAAAAAAAATTCTAATAAAAATAATGATGTGTGAATCATAAATTTGTGAATATTTGTTTCACCTGTAACTTCGTAGATATATCTTGTTCTCGTCAGCAGTAAAACTCAATACATGTTCTAATCCTTGCAATCTGATTTTTTGAACTATTTCTCGTTGGAACATATCAACAAACAGATTTTTAATTCTAATATATTGCTGATTATTCTCAAAAAGTTCACCATTAAAAATTAATATAGGCTTCATTCCTACTGAAATTTTAGGAACTTTATATTCCTTTAAACCTTTATAATTTTCTATACCAAACTCCACCATGTCTAATAACGTGTGTTCGTACATTCTACCAAATACAAGATTATGCGGACGTTTTTTATTGTGTGAACCAAATATAAAAAGTGGTGCATCTAACTTTATTGAAAATTTCTCAATAGTTGTTGCATCTTCGAATGGAAGTATGTCATTCTTTTTTTGCATCATTTGTACGTCAGGTTTTTTGAGATCATACTAGAGAAATATTTTTTATATTAATTTTATGAGATATTATATATATATATATAAAACATTGTTATAAACTTACCAAATCTTTCATACAATCATTAACGATTTGAGAAGTATTTCTACCTTTAATACAAAAAGCTTGTTTAGCATCTTCAATTAATTTCGGTTCTTTTTTTACGAGTGCTTTTTTCCCCCTATGAGTAGAAGGCTTACTAAAAAAAAATAAATGCAATAATAATTTATTTTCAAATTATTTATAAACAATACATTATTATAATCGTAACAAATAGAATGTACTTACACAACTCGAGCTATTACCGACATTGTGAAGCGTATTTTAATATTAATGAACTATAAGTCAAATGTTTATAACAGTATAAAACTAATTATAATATGATTTAATTATAAACAAACTTGTATTAAGATTCTATTACGAAAACACATGTTTGTCGTACATAACCTTAAATAAATCTTTACTTGCATTCAGTCAGCTGAATGTATCATGATGACGTGATCTAGGAATTTTAAGATTAGAATACCCTATAGGTGAACACTGTAAATTTAAAAAACGCATACTGCATCCTCTCTTCTGGTGTTAATTATAATTTACAAATAATTACATGATTTGAAAAATAGATTTGCATAATAAAAGATCAATAGAATTCTATCTTTCTTTTAAATATTGTATATCAATCGAATATAAAATATGGTATAGAATATCAGTGAAAATAATCCTCATAGGAAAATAAGAATTTCATTATTGGAATAAAGTAAAAATCCCTATTTTACTTGTGCAACTGCACATGCATACGTGTAATTAATACATGCGTCTATTGTTTAATTTAATGCTCGTACATTTCAGTACACAGGTTTTTATACACGTATCTATATGATATGTAAATTAAAAAGATAATTTATTCCTAATTGATTAAACCCAACTGTAACCATTTTTTCAAACCATAATACATGTGAAAAAATTATGCAATAATGTTTTATATTATTGCTACCCTATGTGAAATTAATTGAAATCTTTTTTTACAGTACGAATATATATGAACATAAACCAAATCTTAAATAGATATGCATATTTCTATTATGCTATGGATGATAAATATTGTTATCTACATTTAATAATGTCAGTTATGTAGTTAATGATTTTATTTAATCTCAACCGATACCGACATCGCAATAAATACATTTTTGTCAATTTGTTAATTAATTGTTACTTAAAATTTGTATAAAATATAAGTATACAAGTTATTATTTTTACACTGTTATTTAAGGAAGTTTGAATTGACAAGTAGTGTCTCGAGTATGTATACGTCTACCGAAGTTGTAATTAATAAATCTGATAATATTACGGATTTTTACATCGGTTTAGGATTAGCCGTTACTTCTAGTGTTTTTATAGGTTAAACATTTATTTATTTAATATATATGATTAATACATGCAAATGTAGAAGAAAATATATATATATATATTTCTTTATTGCAAATCATACAAAGTTATATATTTGTTGTAGGTGCAAGTTTTATCATTAAAAAAATAGCTTTAATTCGACTTCAGAGATTTGGTGGATTACGTGCTTCTTCTGGTGGTTATGGGTACCTTAAAGAATGGATATGGTGGGCCGGTTTGATTTCAAGTAACTATCTTTTTATTGAAATCTAAAATAAGAAAGATCTTATTTCTAAGTATTTCATTTGTTAAATATACTTTGAGTATAACAGTGGGCATAGGAGAAGCCGCCAATTTTACAGCGTATGCATTTGCCCCTGCCTCCTTGGTTACACCCTTAGGTGCTCTAAGTGTTTTAGTGTCTGCAATTTTAGCATCAAAATGTCTTAATGAAAAACTTAATTTGCTGGGAAAGGTAAGGAAATCTAATAAGGAAAAGTAATGTGAATTATATATTAAATATAATATTTTTGTATAGATTGGATGTTTCTTATGCATTCTTGGCTCAACAGTAATAATACTTCATTCACCAAAAGAAGAAGAAGTTAATAGTTTAGATGAACTTCTTGACAAAATTAAAGCACCAGGTTTTATTAGTTACGTTTTTATTGTAATATTATGTTGTTTGTTTATAATATTTTATTTTGGTCCTGCTTATGGAAATCAGAATGTAATTGTTTATATACTTTTATGTTCATCGATAGGTTCATTGACAGTAATGAGTTGTAAAGGGATAGGATTAGCATTGAAAGAAACTATGTCATTTTCAGGCGCATTTTCCAATTTCTTGACATGGCTATTTTTATTAAGTATTATCTGTTGCATTACATTGCAAATGAATTATTTAAATAAATCATTGGATTTATTTGATACTACTATTGTTATGCCAATCTATTATGTATGTTTTACAACATTGGTTATAGTAGCATCAGCGATACTGTTCAGAGAATGGCAGAATATAAGAAGTGAGGATATTGTAGGATCTTTTTGTGGTTTTTTTACGACCATAGTAGCAATATTTTTGCTTAATGCTTTTAAAATGATGGATATTAGTTACAATAACATTAGGCACATTTTAAGGCCGAAAAAAGAATTAGTTGTTGTCAACTCAAATTTGCATTGGAATATAAGAGATACAGAACGGTTAATATCCAGAAATATTAATACAGATCATTTTTATGGATCATCAGATATTAGCAGAACTGTATAATGTAATAAGTAAATATATACCAATAATAAAAATAAGCAAAGACAAATTTATACTATATTTAAAATTATAAATACAAAATAGTTTATTTTTTAGTTAAAATATTTTATAAGACGACTACTACCTATTTATCAGTATTTTTTAATAGCTCACATATTCATAATTATTTTTAGTAATCGATGAAAGTATATATAATAAGTCGTATGGCAGTTGTAATTAAAAAATATCATTGTATATAACACAGTACAAACGAAGATCTAGTCTAATGAAAATATTTATTATATTCTTGCAATAATATAATATTATTTACCTTAATAGGTAAAAAAATCAATAAAATATTTACATTCATTTCATTTATTATTTTATATCTTTCCAAGAAATTTATGAAATTTATTATAGTTATCAAATTGAGTTTTGAAAATTTCTTGTAGATTCGATGGAAGTGTACGTGATAATAAGGCAATACCATGTTGATCGCAGATACTGAGTAACGTAGCTATTGTATTTTCCAAAGAAATCTGTAAAATAGTTATAAAAATCTTATAAAATTTGAAACAGTTATATATATAATTTATCTAACAAAAGTATTTATACGAAATTACTTTTACAAAAGGTTTTAATCCTCCTTCTGACAGTAATTGGACCAAATCAGCTATGACATATGGACTTAAACGCATTAGGTCCTTTTTATGTTTTACCAAACACGTTGTAAATCTATAAAATGATATTTCTTTAAAATATAAATTTGTGAAAAAAGAATATTAATGATCACGTATAACAGAAAATATATATAGGTAGTTCTTGCTTTGATTAATTATATATATAGATAGTTCTTAAAATAAGAACAACCTATACTTCATAATATATTATATACTTACTTTTCAATATCAAGTAAGAGACATCGACAAAAATGATCTTGAACTTTATCAACAATTTTAGATAATTGAATGATAATAGTAATTAAACGTCTAAATAAACTTAGCAATACTGGTAATCTATCTACTATTATGTCCATTTTAGCTTTAATTAAAATTCCACATAATATTAAAACATTGTTGCATATTGAAAGATTTCTTTTTTCTAAGGCTTGTAAAGCAATACTCATACTAAGATCGATAATATTATCAGATATATATAAATGTTTAGAAATGATTATATTCTGAAGTGATTCTAATAATCTTGGCCAATGTTGTTCTGATACGTTTATAATTTGTATGTTTTTAAACAAGTTTTCAATTGTTGTTGTACGGAGATTATTACGTTGAGCTGACATATCTGATTTCAATACAGCATTCCAAACACTAAACGTATTTTCTAACTTGTTACTATCGGATTTAGGTAATTCTTCTATCTGTTATAAAATATAATTACAAATTATTCAAAATGTGAACATAGTTTTAACTATATAAATAAATATTTATTAATACGTATATATGTGTATTTTAAATTACCATTAGAGCTTGCATCAAATATAGAGTTTTTTTGAATTGTCCAACTTCGGTAGATTCTATCAAAGGTAGAAGTAAATCCTCACAAGGATAATCTAACATTATAGACCATATTTGTGTTCTAATTTCTTGAGAAATTTGAAATTCTTTATAATTTCGAAAAATTACGGCAGCTAATTGTAATCCTGCTTCTAATAACTCATTAGAATGTGGTTCTTGCTTAGACTATATAAATAAAGAGATATATTATTATATTATTCCAAATATTGTGTGTGTGTTGTCAATAATTAATCTTTGTAAAATACAAAGTCGGTACTCTCACCATTGTTTTTAAATAAATTAAAGCGAATTACACACATTACTATAATAAATCATAAATTATTATTATATATATACACTTACCATAAATATTTTATGTAATGTAGACTCTATACATTCGTTTAAAGTATTCTCGGTTTCCTTATTTAAGGCATTCATTTTTAATATCAATGTCAAACACTTTACATCGTAAGGAAGTTCAATATTTGTTGGTAATGTGTTAAATAATTTCTTAGATAATTTTTGTTCTGCTTTTTTAAAAATAGATTTCTGATCGGCATCTAATTTCTGTCTTACATTTTCTATGCATTGTAAAAGAATATACATAGTTTCCTTATTAATAGAAGATGAATTTATTAATGTTTTTAAAATCTCATAAGATTTAATATTTCGTAATGATTGTTCTAAAGCTTTTGAAAAAGCTTTAAATTGAGATAGTTGATGTATTACTGATACGGGATCTATATATTGTAAAATATCAAGACCAGTTGTTTGAAAAAGTTCTGTAAATTAATAAAAATAAATGATTATATAAAATAACAATTAAAAAGATCATCTTTTTTATAATTTATGTAAGTATTTAAATTAAAACTTACTAAGAAATATTTTGTTGCATAAAATTGTTATATCTTCGCTTTTCGTGCATTCTTTGTTGACAGTAAATATAATCATAAGTAATAAAGCTCTAACATTAGATTTAAAAAATGCTATTGGCATATGAACTATAATATCTAAATATAATTTAATTTTAGCAATTTCTGTATTTTTCATTTGTTCCCATTTAGATTTAAGTATTTCTACTTTTACAGTTTCTAAAATCCTTTTTATTTTCTTTTTTCCAAAAACTTCCGCAGACAGTACTACTTTCTGAAAAATATTTGTAAAATAATGTATTAATAATGAATAATATTAGAATGCATTAGAAAAAAATATTTTCTTGATTTACGTACTGTGTCTATATGCTGCGAAATAGATTTAGTTACTCCTTTCTTTGGTATTGTTCCCATTTGTATAAGAATATGGCATAAAAGATATATTAAAAATCGTTTGTTTTCTTGCAAATAATCATTCCTTATTACTTCCATCCATTCACAAAAATTACATTCATTGAACGTCATATAAGTTACAAGTAATGAAACTAATTCAGAAAGTTCTTTATTATCTAATAATAAAATTAATTCTGAGTTAGATTTCAATATGAAACTCCAAAAATATTTCAAACCGTTTATTAAATTATCTAATTTGATGGGAAAATCAACTCTGATATAATATTTAATGCGGTGTATTATAAGCTTGTTCTGAAATAATATAATAATATTTTTAATTTAAATAAATGTGATTAAGGAATACATAGGGAATAGTTATTATAAATACCATATTATTTATGCATTCCTCTTCACCGAAATTAGTTATTCTTTGAATCAGTTGTTGCCAGTGATCTTCCGAAATAGGAAATACTAATTCATTGTTCTGAATATTTGGTAAATAATATTTTATCATATTTTGTATTTCGCTCCATGACAATATAACAGATAATAAAATAGCAATAATATTAGCATTATGATTTACATGTAAAGCTTTTTTTATTAAAACAGATAGATATTTTCCTAATTCATTTAAAACATTTATGAATTCTTGTTGATAAGCTGAAGTCGATGTATTCCCAATGATACACACATTGTTTAAAAATCCAATTAATAATTCTGTTACCACTTTCAACAATACTGTACTTTTACCTACAAGATATTAAACGAATTAATATATATTATAATTCAATTGTTTTTTTTCAATTTGAAAATGGGATCATGAAATATTTATAAACATTTTTATTTTGTTACTAACCAGTTGTATTACATTTCAATGATTCCAGGCAATGTCTGTTTAAATTATCTATCAAAATTTTGAATATTGTCAGAACATGCGAGTTTGTGAACGTAGAGACCGATTTGGTAAATTTATTTTTAAATTCAAGCGGAAAATATGATTTTGTCAATAAATCAGATTCTTCTAATTCATTTTCAATAGCAACGACTTCTTCCAACGTTGTCAAAAGTTGTGAAATTAATTTATGTTCTTGTTTTAATAAAATGCTGGCATCCAAAATACCAATGAACAGTTCATTACTTTCTATCGTTGGTTCTTGTAAATACAATTTATATAGAATATTATCAATTTTCTTTTCAACGATGATAGGATAAAAATATGTTATCTTTGTAAGCAACTTATAATCAACAGGTGTCAATATTTTCACTAATAAAATATCATCTACAATTTGTTGAAAGAATTCCAACAAAGTAACATCGTCAATTTTATTTTCAAAATTAAATGGTGTATCATTAAAGTTATCAAAAAAAGATATAAGTATTTCTTTCTTATACTTTCCAGCAGAGGTTATCAATTTTCTAAATGTACTATCTAATGTAGCAGTATCCGATTTACAAGATCTAACAGCTTCACGAAAAGCACATGTAAATGTATCTAAATTATTTTGAAGATCCATTATTTATGTGTATTATCTATTAATACTAAAAACAATTCAAATAATATAATTTTATTTCTGTTCCATTTATTTTGTCTTGTGCGTCCTGTTTATTTTTCACAAATTATTTTTAATGCATTTATATCCTATTAATATCAATTGCTCGGTACTATCCTTATGTGCATAATCGATCAAAGAACACGTGGGATTCAAACTACGCGTATAAATACGAAGCGCCTCGAAAATACACGATTTGCACACTACCGAGCACGAGACGATGTAAACACTGCGACTGCATTTCTATAACTGAGCAACACGCAGAAGCAAACGACACAACAGCGCCCTCTTTACTGAACGAGCACGCGGGAAAATTCAAGCGCAGCAACTGCATCCGTGTGCAGATAATTTTTCAAATAAAATAAGTAATTTCCATTCAAGTGGTTATAATTTCTGTACAAGTACATATCGATCAATGATTTCTTTATATTAATTTTAATATTAACATTTTTCTTATTAAAGATGCCATTGCTAAAAATTTCATGCATCTTTTTTTATTGTGCAAACTTTGCATAATAATCATTGTAATATTAAATTTTCTATTCTTGTTATTATTAAATCACAAATCACTTCCAAATCAAGCAATCATATATTAGATAATTAAATTACAAATGAAAAATTAAATATTAAAACTCGGAGATGATTACCTGAGGAAAGAGTAAAATATTTACATCAAAAATATCTTCAGATATCCTTCATCTAAGAAAAAAAAAAAAAAAAAACAAAAAGCAAAATAAAAATATTACAAAATGATATTAAATATTAAAATTATATACTTTTGCAAAAAATAAAAGTGTAAAACTTTGAGGAAGATAAGTATGTATGAGGAACGTTTTCTAAAGGATTTATAGTAATCATACGATCGCGATATATATGTACATATACATTGCGCGTTTATTATTTATTAATATATTGTTATACTTAATATTATATTTATATATTTATAGCATTATTTGGACGATGCATATGTATATACGCGGTATACTGCAAGTTAAGGTATAACCGACAAAAAAAAATGATCACCGATTTAAAAACGATTCACGTCAAACGCGACATTAAAAATAGCAAAGAGAGTTTACGAAAATCTTTAACGCTACTCGTAGCTTAACAAGCGTAATATCATAGCATATATTATACTCTATAGAAACTAATGCATACTCATCAAATCAATATTAACAACGCCGATATAATTTATACTCATTGTAGTCAATAGACAAGAATACCTAATTATAACTAAATTTCTATCTTTCTTCTTTTTTTTCTCTTTCTTTCTTTTTACATGTGTAATTAAGATCTCAAATCTTCATTAAGCTAAAAAACATTCATTCTTTTCCGCTTCTAGCTATTTTTAAACAAGCAATCACCACTTTTTCCGATTGTACCCTTTTTCACAGATTACCCAGTAAATATGTATGCATATGTGGAAATATATATACATACACACATATGTATACATTATATATATATATATATATATTCAAGTTTACCTCAAGGTATTCCGACATTTCATAATTCATACGAAAAAGCTGATAACATATTTATACCTCGCTTTTATGGTGCGTCTATTTGTCTGTAATCTTATTACTGTGACTTTTCGATGCCCTATTAACAAATTTTTCATAATATGAAAAATATTTGAAAACAGTGTTCAAAAAAGCAATTTGTGCTCTTATATTTCTGGTAGTGCCATTATATTGTCGCATTGTATGTTCAGGCAGTTTGTAATATCTGTAAAATTATCATTCTTACCAGAAAAATGAGATATATATATATTTATATTTATATATATATATGATTAACTAATTACATATAATTACAGATTAGTTAAAAATAACTTTTATTTTTCTTCTTTCTTTTTTTTTTTTTTTGCTTTTTTAAATAATTACCAAAAATTTACACTGATGACATGCAACATTCTTTTAATATAAAACATATTCACAAAAGATCTAAAAATTGTAAAATTAATGTTCTATGTAATACAACTTCAAAAAGCCAAATGTATAAAAGATACTTCACGTTAAATTGCTCGTGGACAGTTAACTTTAATTAAAAAGATTTTAATCTGAGAAAGTATCTATCTTGGAATGTCATAATGCTATGAACAAATTCTATATACATTATTTAAACTATAACTGCCTAAGTTTTTCTTTTATTTCGCACAGTTGTGTGCACATCAGATCCAAGATTTATCTTTTTCTCGCAATAATGCATATTACGTTATATATATATATATTTGTTGTTTCCATAAAAATAATATAAATAAGTATCTTCTTCTCATACAATAACGACGTCCTAATGCTGTACCAGAATTATAAGTGCGAATAATTTTTTTTTATTATAAAAAAAAAAAAAAAAAAAAAATTTATAGATAAAAAGAAAGAAAAATAAAAGAAAAAAGAAAGAAATTCAAAACGCTTTACAAAACCCAATAAATGATTACACTTCAGATGCTGGGATAAAAGAAATAAATTATACACAACTGGTACCCGGAACCTTGCACGAATTCAATTACTTTCATCGAACTAATGTAGGATGTAAAACCATCAAACATACTGTCTGCTTACTATTAAATTTGCAAACACACAGAGCTCTGATGTAAATATTGTAAAATACAACGGCACACCTTTGACCATAAAAGTTAATTTTGTTTCAGTTTTGTAAAGTCAATTTCGGCATAACTGAAACCTTCCTGAACAGATGCGGGCGATACGGGTACCACGGTAGCGAGTTCTGGTAGATCCAAACTAGCATAATGTAAAACTGTTGCACCAGGTTGTAGTTTCTCATAACCATCGCTATCCAGAGGACTAGGCGTAGGAGTTGGAGTAGACGTAGGTGTTTGTATCGGTGTTTCGTCAATGAATTTCGGCGATGACGATTTTTGTTGTAACATAGCAGTTTTAAAACCCGATAACGTCGGACTTGTATTAGGTGATGCAGTAACTAATCGTGGCTTTGATACCGTAAGATCAGCAAATTTCTTTGTTAACGAATTTAACGTGCATTCTTGCGAAGATATCGAGTTTGATATAACTCGTGTTTGATCCGTATTACGACTTAATGGTTCGTCGTTAATGATTTTTGATATTGAATTATTTGTAGTATCCGTCATCGAGGAGACTGGATTAATGGTGTTAATTTTTTTTGTCGTATTATCAGCCGTAATGTCATAATCGTTATTCTTTAAATCCGTGTCAATCCTTGAAGAAGAATCGTCAGATTTTTGTTGATGCGTAAATGGCTTTATAGGAGATTGAGGACTATTTAAAGAGAAGGGAAAAATAGTAGCTGCCGAGCCGGTAGGCGTAGCACGTGGAGGAGAAGCTGGTGTACTCGCTAAACTTTCCGATGTTGGACTACCATTAAGAGGTAAGAAATTGGGTGCTTTCAATGGTTTACTTCCAGCTTGAATAGCGATTGGTTGTGAACGTGAGTTTTCCTTGCGACTGTTGTTCACTCGTACTCTTCGGTTGTTCCGTCCAACCATGCCCATACTTATATTAATATAATCTTGTTCTAAACTTGGCCTCGCTTTGAAAGACATTTCTACATATCCTTCAGGAGGTCGTCTAGGTTGAGGTAAATCAACCGGGGCCGTTCTTGCACCACCTTTATAAATAACAATATGTTAAAACCTAATACAAAATAAAGTTACTCTCTTTTGCTGCGTTGATAATAAATTCTAATATAATAGTAAGTAACATCTACCTGGTGGGCCATTCGTTTGAATACAGTCTTCTTGCATAGGCGATGGTATTTGTTTAGGACTTGCACCTGATAATGACCAATCTTCCATATTACCGTCCATTTTCATATATGAACTCTCTGCTTCTTCCACTGGTTTCAAGGTTGTTATAACGGGTTTCAGTGTGGAAGCCGAAGATGATACATGAACGTGACTATGGTTCTGATTGGCAGTGATAGAATTATTATTATTATTACGATTGATCTGCAAGAAAAAAAAAAGACATATTTAAAATAAATTAATGATTATTAAATAAGATTCACATTGAAAATATGAAATACCTTATTTAAGCCGCTCATGTCGACGTACGAGGCAGTGGTCGATGTAGGCGGTTGTCCAGGAGACATATCGACATAGGAACTAGTGTCGGTGGTGGCAGTAGAATATGACTGTGATTGTGACTGTGTATAGGAAGAAGGGGGTGATGAAAGAGTAGCTGGAACGCTTTGTCTTGTAAAGTCTAATTCCATAAGATCTTCCATTCGTTCGGAGGTACCAGAACAACCAGAATTATGACCCCAAGAACTGGATAATAAGGGCGCTGAATTTGATTTATTTGAGTTGGAATTATCCGAACTAGATGGCAAAGGAGTTGTAACTACATTAGCTAATCTGCCAAGTTCAGGTCTCTTTGAACGACTGCCTACAGAGAATGCTCTCACTCTACTTGCTTCCTGCTGCGTGATATCTAATCTGCAATTTCAAGGAAATGTAAAAAAAAAAAAAAAAAAAATTGATATTACATTTATATTATATATCTTCTTGTTAAAATCAATACATTAATATACAAGTATCAAATTCTTACCTATTTTTACGATGCTTATTAGTTGGTTCTGGCCTAGATCCAACTGAATACGCTCTAGTTGGTCTAGCTTGCAAATCTTCTCCTGGTGCAAAGAAGCTGGTTACTTTATCTAGGTGATACTCGGAAAAACGTAAATCTGTACTAGGTGTGCCAGAAGTTACTGAGCAACTACTACCACCGTGTTGTGACATGTCATCTGGAAAATGACCATTATGACTGGTTGATGGATCCATATCTACATAGCCATCATCGCCAACAGGCGCCATTGGAACATAGCCATCAGGTAAAACATTCGTCTCCTCAACAAGAGACGATGCATGAGAATGGGAATAAGCTGTCGTCGCTGGACTCATTGGCATGTAATTTCCACCACGTCCAGGACTCGAACCACAAGGACTATACATTTCTACATAGGAACTCTGCTGTCAAAAGAATATACTTATAAAAATATTGTACAAAAATAATATTCAATCTTAATATTCATTTCTAAAATATTTGTTTAATAAAACGTTCGTTACACATGCATCCCATATGTGTAACTCCACTGATTAATCATTTTGATTTAATAATCTATAGAAAGTACATGTTACCTATAGAACATTGTTATGCATAATATATAAAATGTTTTATTTGTAAAAAACAATTGCTATAAAAGCATGAGCAGTGGCTATGTTTCTTCCAACCAGATTATGGCAACGAACGTATTAATAAATTTGAAAATATCGCATTAATTCACCTGTGACGGAGAATGGGATTTAAAGTTTGGCGAGTATTTATGATGCGAATGCGTCGTAGACCATGCAGCATAATCGTCCCCATTCTCTTCTAAAATAACTGGCTCGTCGGGAGTCAACGAATGACCATATCTCGAACCAGTACTTTCTTCTAAAATATTTTCACTGCCATCATCCATAGAAAGAGAGGACCCAGCTGAATCAGTTGAGCATGCTCCTGAGGCTGGGCTAATCGGCATTGAGGAAACTGGTGGAGAATAAGACAGACCTCGTCCATACATAGAGTGAGGTCTGGGTACATGAGATATAAAATGAGAGCTTCTAGGATGACTCAAGACAACTGTGGTTGGATGACATTCACTCGTTGTCCGAGCTCTTGATGGCAAACTGTCGCATCTGTCACGTCCAGTGGTACCTGAAAATATATTCATTAGAATCATCCCTTGAAGATATGTTATTTTAATAACGAACAGTATAAAAAGCCAATATCATTGTCCCAGCACAGCAGCGGTTAGTTTATTCGCATATATCCAATTTATATATATATATAGTTTTATATGTTCATATATTGTTTATTGGTTAGTCATCTTAAAATATATATTTATATATGAGTCAAGCAATGGATGATGATGATAGTGAGGGGATACATGATATAACAATGCTCAATGAAATCAAACTGAAGATATGTACCAAATAATTCGCAGAAATATTCGACAGAATATTAGAGTCATGGCTCGATCGTTTACGAGCAGCAAGGAGAGGTTTTTTATCGAATCGAAAAGAGGTAAAAACGAAAAATCGTCTTCTTTGCGGAGAATCGTGCATCTCCTGACACATGCAAGCGGAAGCTTACATCTATGGCCTTTCATCGAAATTCGAGTCACAGGTAATACATCATAATCGTGGCTCAGTGTGTTCATCACGAGCGTCATATTGGATTGAGAACAAATAGTGAAGTAGTAGCAGAACAGTTGAAATATAAGAAAAGAAATAAATAAAGAAAAAGAAAAGGAGAGAAAGAAAGAGAAAGAAGAAAGAGAGAGAAATAGAGAAAGAGAAAGAGAAAGAGAGAGAAGAAGAAAGATATCTCTGACTGCTTTAACATATGACGAAACGAAAATACATACAGCGTAAAACAGATCTTTTGGATGATTGCGTTTGATTGATAATAACAGCAGCTAAGGGCAGCGACAGGGTTCTCTGATGGGATATTATTGCGGTTGTGGTTGTAGTGGTTGCGGTGGCGGTCGTTGTGATGGTGATGGTTGTCGTTGTAGTAGTTGTACTTGTTGTGACATGAGCGGATTGGGAATTATTGACGGAATGGGGATGACTTGCTACCGAATGACGACGTCTAGTAGCAGTGGCACAGTTGACATTAATCGAGGCAATCCCAGCAGTCCCAGCCCCGGTACCGGCAACGACTGCAAACCACACAGCTCTCACTGTCGCACAACTACCATTTTTTGCGTGCATTTCTTGTAAGTATCATCAGATACATCATACATAACTCGCCGTGCTGTTAAGCCTGATTTTTGGACGAACGTTCGAACGATCGGTTAACGAAATCAATGACAATGTTTCAAATGGTGTGTAAGTACTCTTTCATAGTGAAAATGCCGAATTCTGAAATCATATTCGCTTGGATACTTAGAGTTTCCTTATATAGATGAAATTGAATGTAACATAAAAATGATTAAGTCTCATTTATAGGATATACCTTCGCCTTTGTCGTTTGTGTATTTACATATATGTGCATTCAATAAACACCATATTGAAAATATCAGGTTTTAGTAATATTTGGTTTAGAAAATTAAACCAAAATTTAATTTTACCCAAGTGCACATGCTAGTTAGATCATTTAACTAAATTCCATAATATATAAATATAAGTATATATATATATATATATATATATATATATATATATGGAAGAATTACATACTTCAACTAGGTAATATATGAGTTTTCAAGAGACGAGTAGTTACGATATTAAATTGATATTTGATCCGTAGATTAGATTTGATAGAACAGCACGATTAATAGAAGATTGGTTTTCAAAATACAGGAAGAGATGATAAGAGCGGATAACTACGAGCATTGTTATAGAAAGAAAAACAGACTGTAAAGATGGATCAAATCTGAATCTCATACTCTACTCGAGTTTTTCGTGAATTCATATAAAACCTCGTAATTTCCCAAAACTACTAGTTTTATACTTAGCGTATACTAAAATTCTTTTTATATGCTTTCCCAAAAACGTCTAATTATTTCGGGTAAAATCTAGGGTTTCCACAATTTAACACTGACATATATAAATATATATCAGAAAAGTAGAAGTTATTTCATGTTCATCAAAATATCTCTATTGTTATATAAATAATTATCTATTTTTGTTTCTCAGACAAAGGCTTGACCGTTTTTACAATACCCTATATGTTACAACCCACATAGTTTCAAAATCGTACATAAGAATTTAATACAAGCAGAATGAAAATAAAAGAAAATATTTAAAAAATATCGTGCCACATTGTACGCGTTATCTTTTCTTTCTTAAAATTTGCAAATCCCGTAAAAAAAAGCATACAGCTACTGTGACAGAGAACAGACCCGTGAATGTATTGGAAGAAGTACTCTGAGATTGACTACACTGTGCGGGGGCAGAGGCAGTAGTGGTTTGTTCCTGCAACGGATCCACCTGTTCCTTGCACGTCCTTTGTTCCTCTGTAAAGCCCGCAACCCATTTGTGTTACTCTAAAGCTGAGTTCTTAAGAATATATATATATAGTGATTCAGCTTATATTTCATAATAAAGAATATAAAATTTGCACAGTTATGGTTTAATGCAAAGTAAGCGATGATATCCCAAAGGATACTTCATATTTGTATCTAGAAAAAATGCAATAAAGATCCTTAAAATGCACAAGCCTGCAAATGAAGAATCATCTGCAAAGTAGATAAGACATAGTGCGCCTTGAACCATTTAAAATATATATTTACATTGAGTAGAAGCATTTCTGATTGACAACTGACCACATTGAATAACCATAACTGACATTGTGAAATGAAAGACAAGTTACTTAAATGGTAATATATATGTATATCGGAAACTACTCTATTTACCTAGAGGCGAGAAGCTATGAAATTTTTGCCCTGTATGTCGTCGTTGGAGCACTGAGATGGGTTTACTTGCTTCATTTGCCGAGGAACTACGCATCCTTTGACGAGGTCCAACTTCATCTTTATAGGAATTGGAATTACTCATTGCATTTAATATTGCAGCATGCATGTTGTGCGCAATGTTACTGTCTTCAGCTTCCATCCAAAATTCACCACCTCCAGTTACTGCGGATCTACCAACTTCCATGTAAAAGATGCGATCCATATAACCACACCTCCTGATGCAGATTAACTATAAATTAAATTATTGATCTGATAAGACTTTAAAGAAATGTAAAAGACTGTTTAGTGTATTTATAATAACTTATTAAAATAAACTACTGAGTATATCTACTAAATATAATATAGAGATACTTACAGAAAATTCAATAGAATCGGAATTGTCTTTAGCTCCAATTTTGACTAAACTTAGAGTGCGATCAGTGAGACATAACCTATATGGTCCATTGATATTTTTTCGTTCACCAAGTCCTTTTTTCTGCATAGTAACTTGCCACACGTGCTCTGACAATATACATAATAAAATGAAAAAGAATTCTTGACATATATGTAATATGATATATATATAAATAATGACATATGATATATATATATAAATAGTGATACACTAATGTGACTACACATTGATTAGATACTTTATATAAAAATAATTATATCAAATATTATTTCAGACACAATTAAATATATGAATCATTATGTAATTAATAATTAAATATTTTAATCCAAATGAAATTAATAATAAAATAACTTAACTTAATATATGTGAAAGAGAGAGACAATATTATTTATAATTTCCACGTGTATGGATTGTAAACAGAACCTCAACTGTCATAAAAGCTAATCGTATCGTTACGATCATCTCGATAAAATAAATCGTTCGTATCGATATATTAATCAAAAGTATTATTTGAAGTGAATAATATGCAGCAGCATATATATATATTTATATATAATTTAAAGAAAGATTTTGGCGCTTTTTGTAACATGACACAATACAACCGCACGTAAAAGAGAATGTAGATGTTGAAAAACAAAAAAAGAAAAACAAAAAAAGAAAATGATACGACCAACACAATAAGGTAGAAAATAATAAATAGGAAACAAAAAGTAAAAAAAAAAATGAAATAAGGTATTGTTTTTTTTTTTACCGAACGTGGGGCGAGGCTGTTCACCTTCAGGTACATCACCGCTCTGTAGGAGGAGCATTTCTTTTAACCATTCATTCAGTTCGTTTTCATTATCGAGGATCAAACAAAAGCATTCGTCCTTGGTATACAACGCTATAACGTGTTTGTGCTTGGTGTCGACACGCTTGTTGATATTGAAGCAGCTGTGCAGTAGGATGCTGCGTTTAGGCAATTGCTTGCTTTCAAACTTCTTCTTAGTGTCATAATATTCCAAACAAGCGGAATATCCCGGTGCCTCGCCTCGCAAAACGAAATACTTCTTTTTCAAGGTTTTAAGCTTTTTCAGATGCCCGCACCGCACAATAGGCCCACAGGATGGGGACGCCAAACCTCTGTTGCCCGAAGACATTGCCTCGGCCACGATCGGAAAAGCCGTCCTTGCGAGAAACCAAAAAATTGCCGACGGGTTCTCCTGTCGCGCGTAAATATCGTTTTCTCGCTCACACATATATATACATACATACATACATGCATACACACACACGCACACACAATCTCTCTCTCTCTCTCTTTCCCTTCTCTCTTCTCTCTCTCTCTCTCTCTCTCTATTTCTTTTTCTCTCTCTCTCCCTCTTACATTTTACTTTCGAACGAACGTGTAGCTTTAACGTGCCGCGTATTCCGAGATTCGTAGCTCACGCGGAAGAAGTATGACATCGTGTCGTAGTGTGTGTTGTTCGCAAATAAAAGATGTGCACTTATTTCTTCTTGTAATTGTTTACGATATCAAGGGGAGCAGCAATATATTATCGAAAACAAATGAGAGAGAGAGAAAGCAAAAATGTGTTCCCACCCTAGTAGTAGTAGTACACACGCGTCAGGTGGAAATACTATTCTTCTTCTTCTTCGATTCTTCTACTTTAATAGCCACTAAGTAATCGTATAAGAAGAAGAAGAAGAAGACGACGTTGACGACGTTGATGACGACGACGACGACGACGTTGATGATGATGACGTTGTTCTCGTTGTTTCTCTTCGTGTTTATCTCCTTCCTTGAATTATCGTTTCGCGATTTAAACGTACTGATTGAAAGTATGAGGATCGAGAAGCAGCAAACCGTTCTCTCGAGCATGACGTGCGCGTTGTCGATATTATCGCGCGCGTCGATCGAGCTCGTGTCGCGCGTGATTTCTTTTCTCGCTTTCTCTCTCTCTCTCTTTCTTTCTTTCTTTCTTTCTTTCTTTCTTTCCTTCTTTCCTTCCTTCTTTCTCTTTCTCTTCGTTTAAAATCCCCACCAGCTTTCACCTCCTTCGTCAAACAACTTCGCACACTTTTCTCTTCGTAGTACGGTTTCAACACTTATTATTTTTCTCTACCACCCACTTGATACACTAAATGTATTTTCTTCGAAATAACTGTGAATCAGTGAAAACACATTTGGAAATATGAGTTTCTCTTTATTATCGATGCACCGTAAAGACGTATAGTAGAAAGCACGTGTCAATTGTAAATAAGCGAATGCACGCCGCACGGCAAGCCCGGTGCATGTGCACTCGCAACGCGCGTTAAGGGCGTTCCATCCAGTGCTCCCCCTTCCCTTCCAATCCCACCATTCCTTTTTAAAAACGTCTTCCGCAAAGTTTAGTTTTACGATCGAGACGACTCTGTTCGACAATACGGAAGAAAACAACACTTAATAATACCTTACTTTCTTCCACCCACCCTCTCTCTTACTCATGCAAGAGAGAGGTTAGGATACGATACGCCTTTAAACGTACGTATTTTAAATACGTCGTCAAAGTACACAAATCAACTAACTTATATATTTTCTTCCTCCCTTTCTTTTTCACACCACGATGTCAACAATGTCCACCTGTCAAACGACACATAGATTTTAATTTTAAACGATTAATTTCAAAGAATCTTCCACGCTATCTTGGAACGCAAGAGGTTAACAGGTCGACGACACTCTTCTTCTCTACGAAGTATTCACGCGCCGCCTACGGAAGGCCGTCGTCCTTTCTTTATTTCTTTCTTTCTTTCTTTCTTACTTTTCTTTTCTTCTTTCCTTTCTTTATTTCTATCTTTTTTCTTTCCTTGCTTTTTACACTTTCCTCTTTACTGTCTCTGCTCGTAAAGTGCAACCAAATGTAACTTTTTATCATAGGACTTCTCCTCTACACCTGTTTATCGCGCGAACGCACGATTTACTACGTGAGCCTTTGATCGCGCGCCATTCCTCTCTCTCTCTCTCTTTTTCTCTCTCTCCTTCCCTCTCTCTCGCTCTTTCTTTCGTGTCTACGTACAAGGGTGTAAAAGAGAAAGAAATAGAGAGAAAGAAAAACAGAAGGAAGGCTCAGTGTTGCATCGACGCGATGCACGCATACACATGCGCGCCAAGTTTACCGCGGTATACACGGAAAAGAGACAAATAGGAAGAGAAGAGATGCATTACGCATGCGCGTAACAGACAGATAGAGAGAGATAGAGATAGGGAGATAGAGAGAGAGAGAGAAAGAAAGAAAGAGAGAGAGAGAGAGTGAGAGAGAGAGAGAGCGAGAGAGAGAGAGTGAGAGAGAGAGAGAGCGAGAGAGAGAGAGAGAGAGGGAAGGAGGAAGAGAAAATGAAAGAGAACGAGAGAAAGAGAGAGAGAGATAGATAGATACAGAGAGTAAAGGAAAATGAATAAGAGAGGGAGAGATGACGCGAAAGCACACGCAAGTGGGTGGTTGAACCCCTCTTATCGTTGCCCGACTGCCTGACTGGCTGGCGTGTTACAAATGCAGCTCGCTCTCGTGCGAACAAATAGGCTACTGCCAAGGGCAGCACCGATATTCTTTCACGCGCAATACCGTACGTACGGTCGACGTCAAAACAAAACCGCCGTCACTACTGTCGTTGTTGTTGTTGTTTCCACCCTTGTTGTTGTCCTCGTGACATGTTAGAAGAAGTGGTCATCATCTGTTGTATTATTTCTTTTTTTTTTCTATTCACGTCTCTTCTCCCACTTATGTTTATTTTATTTTAATTTCGTTTTATTTTGTTCTTTTTTTTTGTTTCTAAGAACACGACTCTCTCGCACCACGTGAGACGATTTAACAATGAAGACAACAAATGTAACGTATCGCGATAACGGAGGGTTTTTTGCACGTTCGATAACGAAAAAGAAACAACGAAAAGGCGTCGTTGATGAATATACGCAGCAGATACACGTACCTCCCTCTTCCTTCTCTCCCTCTCCTTTTATCCTACTACCTACTACTAGGTAAGAATTTGTTTCTCCTCTTATTCCTCTTTTTCTCACCCTCTCTCTCTCTTTCTCTCTCTTTCTCTCTTCTCTTTCTTTCTCTCCCTCTCCCTCTATATTTCTCTTTTGCTCAACCCCCCACTACTTGGTACCTTTCCCTCGCACTCCGCGCAGTCTCGTGCACAACAGGCAAGAACACAAATATCGCGTCACTCAAAGCAGTCGTAACCCACGCTAATATCGTATCACCGAAGTACCATACGAATCGTGACACTGCAACAATATCCCTCGATGTAGCTACGAAATTACTATATATATATTTATGATATGTATATATATATATATATATATATATATATATATATGAGAAAGACAAATGAGATATTGTTGTCTTCCTCGTTGTCGATTGTTTTTCCCGAGCCGTAATGTTCTTGTTTACCAGGTACTCGTCGTCAACCGACACGCCTGAGAAAAGACGGTCTGCTCACTCGTATCCATCTTGTAAAGGTCATGTGTACAGCAAAGCTTCGCGCTGCTGTTGCTTGTAAACAAGATGTACGCAGGCGCCAGGGTGTTGAGTAGTGGTAGCGATGATGGTCGACAGCAACGATTACTCGAATACGCAGTACGACTGTCGTACTATCGATATACATACAAATAATATACATACACACACACACATACTATATATATACATATATATATAAATGCACTACCTATTTTATGCGTCCCCCCCTCTCCGATAATGCACAACAGTCCGTCCCGCCATGAATTTTGCACGACACGACACGACGCAATGTGTTCCGTGCCATCTCGTGATAGAATTATGCAATAAACATCACTGATACGAGCGATCTGCTTTCCTTGATTAGATGCAAAAATGTTTAAACTCTTTTATTTGATACAATATTTGTTTAATAACTATGACAAATCATTCTGAATAATATTTGTTTTCTATTATATTTTTATTATTCGTAAATTATATCGTATTTGCATACTATCACGATATATATATATATACGAATGAATAATATAAAATCAATATTAATTATTGTCATTAATAATTGTCAGCAATTGTATAATATAACAATAATATTCTATATCTTTATTATCTCTATACAATAGTTTTATTAAACATTATTGCTTTCTTCCATTATATATTCCTGCAAAAAGTTCACACGATTTTTTAAAGAAATATAAAGTGTTAAAAACTTTGAATATATTTTTTCTCAAAATTATCTCGTTTGGTAATACTACTTAAAAGAGAAACGCAAAACATTAACACACAAGTTGCTATAATAATTACTTATTATAAAAAAATAGTAATATAATATAATTATCATACAATAATATATAAAAATATATTTGTATATTCTTTAATTCTTATCTTTAGTCTGCTAGCTAGTTTTGTAAATTTTATCAAAAATATGTTTTATAATTTTATATAAAATAGATATAAAATCATTGTCGAGTTCTATTATTTCTAGATAATACTGTTTGTATCTATTGAAAAAGTGAAATACATTAATCGATTATCCATGAATTACAAATAAAAGAGTTTATTGCATAACTTTGCATCTGGTTCCATTTGGATACTTTGTCCAACAAGGAATGCAAGTTTATGAGCATATTGACACGGAGCAGGAACTTTTATGGTGCCAGGCCAATTGTAATATAAATGACAAAGTTTGTACGTAAAACGTTGCATGTGATCAGGTTTCATATTCGATCCATCGTAAGCAACAATATAATGCGTTGGTGTAACTGTACCAAAACATTGGCTTTGAGGTACAAGGAAAAAATCATAAAAATTCATTCTTGTTATACAAGAATCGACAACTGTTCCAGACGCAGGATTACTCAAATCTCCTTTCTGGAAATTTGGAAATAATTACAAAACATTCTAATTAGTCTCATACATCATGAAATTATTTTCATAATATTAATTCTTTATGTTTTGATACTCACATTTTCATAAAACAAACGAGTGTTAATTCGCTTTTGTACAATAATTACACTGAGTTGCGGTTTGTAATTAGGATCTATTCGCGTGAATGTTAACAACAATTGTTTAACTTCATAGTTAGTAATTACCTCAATTTGTCCATCACCAACACCATCGCGATAAACAATTATACGACTTGGATAATTTCCGTTACGCTGAAATAATGGTTTTCATGAAATAATCTTTTAACGTTACAAAAGTAAGGAAACATTATGTGTATGTATATGCAAAATATCGATTACTTTTTTATATTCATTGATAGCTGAAATAAAACAGATCTGTAACATATCCATTATTTCTTGATTCGATCTGTGTAAACAGATTTTACTGTGCCAGGATGTTAATAATTTATCCATACTAGCTACAAATCCAGCTACACTTAGTTGTCTTCCACTTCCTTGACCGGGATGACATACATCTATTCCACATACCATACATTTATCCTGTAAATTATTTTATTATTTATATGCATAATATTTTAAATATGTATATAAAAGATTCTGTATGTATACATACAAATGGAATATCCAATGCCCAAAGAGCACCGCCTAATTTACAATTCATTTGTAATATTATTTTTTGTGTCATATTTCTTAATTTATCGGGACGAGAAAGAGTCTTTGACATTATAACTTGCGATGGAATAGGTTTTTCAACACAACACAACCTATATCAAAATATTAAACGATTTAATTTTATATTGACATTAATAATAATATGTTAATAATAAAAATTTGTTTAAGTCGGTTTACTTTTTAACTGCAGAATATCGATCAGTACGATTGGTAGGAAAAACAATAACTACCATTTCCATATCATTATTAATGTTTTTATGGAGTTCACGACAATATGTTTCAGTTCTATCATTTAGTAAAGGAACTTCACGTGGTTTACTCATGTTTAAGCCTAATTGTGATGAAATATCAACTAGCATTTTAATGAATGCTGAAACATGTGGCGTATCTTTTTGATAATAAAATATTGTCCAGTTTTTCAAACTGGGCTATAATAATTTTTGTTTTTATTAATAAATTTGCAACAAATTATATCCTACTGAAATTTCGTAATAATCTTACTCACAGCACGTAAAACATGATTTTTCATAGTTTCATTATTCCAATTGGCATTTGGTTTTCCTTGAAATATTTTATTCTTACCAAAATATATACGTTCAGGTATTAGAGTACGTCCATTTAATTTAGTTAAATTTTCATCAAGTTCTAAGCCCCATGGAGATAGTATTTCACTTGCTACCTCACTTTTTTTAATTTTTTCTATAAAATTTCTTATTAAATCGCTACGATTGTTAGGACAAATATTCGTAATTGTGTGAAGATCTCTCATAATTCTATAATCTGATCTGATACTATTTGTTAATCCAGTTATATAACATAATTCTGGTACTAAAAGTGTCAGTTTATCTGATGCCTGAAACAAAATATTTTTTGTTGAATTATCTTATATTATCGTAAAAGAGCATTGAATATAAAGTATCTAATAAATGAAAAATATATGTACCTCTCCAGTTGATAATAATTCTGTGGAACGGTGTATTAAGAGTGGCTGGTCTTTGTTTTTAATCTCTATACTCCAATGATTTTTATAATAATCTATTATAGTCGTTTTCTCACCTTTTCTCTCAAATTCATACATTGGATTTTTTTCCCATGTTATGTCATCAATACGATAACATTTATTGTTATATCGAGTTAGAACACTAGTACCAATAATTTCACACATTATTTCATCTTTGTAATGCGTAGGATTTTTCTTATAAATTTTTATACTAAAAAATAAATGTGTATCTTTATATTATGTGAATATTACTATATATATATATATATATATGTAATTATGATCTTACATTAAATCATGAACTGTTTCCATACGCATAACTCGATGTTTTATATCAACGTAAAGTTTTAATCCTCCTTCATATTCATTAATAGATGTAATATAGCCAGGCCATACTTCTAATTGATGTTGTGGTACAGTATGAGCACGTGCAGGATTAAAATGTTGTCTACCAATACGAACTAAATTAAGAGCTCTCATAATGCGACCAAAAAGAATATTTAAAAATTGGATACTTTTACTCATGTTTGTATTCTTTTTAAAAATACATGTAAGAGTCACTAAAGACCCATCCCGTGGATGTTCGGAATTATAAACTACTTCCTAAAAGTATATTTATAATTGAAAATGTGTAAGTTTTTTAATAAACAAAAAAAGAAAAAAAAAAAGAAAATAAAACACTTTACCTCTACTGATAATTTCTCAGGCAAAAATAAAATAGAACCATCAAAACTCAAAGCTTTTCCAAGTTTCATTGCATGTTGATTTAAAAGTCTTCTTCTCAGAGCTATTGAATCAATATCAGGATTGAATTTAACTTCATATTGATATAATCCCCTACCTGGTTCTATTCTTAAATCGATGTAATTAGAGCATATATTTACCCTAAACATAAAATATAATTATTTTTAAAAGATAATTATTAGTATCTTTTATTATAATGTAAATTATTGAATGAGAGGTAAAAAAACATACAAATAACAAATCAAATCTTTAAAAGTACTTACATCGTTCCGCTTGTACCTTGACGGTTGATTACTTCTAATTTTTTATTTAATTCAGTACATGTTGAAGAAGTTTCATAGATAGAAAGTTGCGACAGTTTCCCTAATACTCCACAGTCATCATTAGAAGAAGATATTTGTTCATATACTTTTGCAGGTTGTCTTTGGATATTTTGCTGTATTTCCTTTGAAGGTTTTCTTATGCTAGTCTGTTGATCTGGCAAAAGAGGCTGTCCAATTGGTCTATACAAATATTATATTAATATATATGTATAATATGTTAATTTATAAAATAATTAGCTAAACAATGAAATAATTATACTGACCCGTTAAGGTATAAAAGAGAACATAGAATTATATACTTCAACTAAATAATAGAAGAATTTACGAATAGAAAGAGAGAATTGTTAAAGTATGAAATTGAGAAATTGATTTGAATAAAAGAACACTTACGCTAATTTTTTAAGACAACTAAAAGTTGCTCTTCCTTTACCCCCAGTTAAGGGGCACTCAAATAATACAGTTTTTTCTGCTGTACTTTCAATTTGTGTTAAAATTGACGATAAAGATTTTCCACGTCCCATACTAGGCAAAACAATATTCGATGCTTCTGACTGCAACAATGAAACTGGCTCTTGTTGATGCATAGTACTAACTGCACCAGATAAATTTGAAACTTTAGATTCATTTATTCCTATTTGTTTTATCTTTTGCAGAAATAGAGAAGTTCTGCCTATGCGACATTTACTCTGTTCATTATTATCTTCGGCCATTGTTTATTAATTGCAATTATCTAAAAAATATTTTCTTAAGATTAATTACAATATATAATATAATAATAATATATACAATGGTGGGTTGGTTGAAAAATTTTGAAACTATGTCGAAAAAAATAAAAATATGTTTGATAGAAAAATATCTAAATTGTTTTTATATTGGCCTCCAAAATTTTTCAACCCACCAATATAAAATCAAAATTTCATAATACTTTATAGATAATACAATATAAAATATCNAATTGTTTCTATATAAATTAAAAATCTTTTAATTTATATAATTAATAATACAAATTTTCTCAAATAACTAATTTCTACTTTCTCATATAACACAAAGCTTATAACGTGTAATATTGCGAACAATTTGAAAAAGGTTATAAATATGCACTTGTTTTCTGTAAAATTAATCAAAATTATATATTGATAAATATAATCATATAAATACTAAATTTGAATATTCATATATATATATCTTATAAAATAGGCAGAATTTTGAATGAAATTGTTTAACTTACCGCGTATTAACAAGTTTAAAAATAGATAAATCGTCCTTTCAATTGTAAATGAACTAGTCTTTAAATTCTCATAATACTATACAGTAGAAATGAAAAACTTTTAAGGATATTATATTACTTCATAATAAACCGCCTATTCGTTATATTTCTTATCGTTCGATCGTACTGCCATCTATAATTCTTTTCTTTTGTTTTCGAATTATGTATGCATGTATTAATTAACAATATTATATACAGTAACTTAAAAAAAAAAAAAGACACTTTATTTTATAATTATATATGTTAACTTAATTTTAACAGCACAGATTAAGATATTAAAAAATTAATTTTAAATAATTTTGATATGTAAAAGCTTTACATAGAAACTGTTTGTTTTTGGTCAAGCTTACTTTTATATATATACAAAAAAAATAAAACAAAAATTAATAAAAATATCATTGTTGAAAAACTCAACACTTTTAATAAATAAATAAATTAAAGAAAATTATTTGCGAGGAAACAAAAATTAATTATTACTTAATTTGAAAATCAAAAAACAAAAAAAAAGATTATATACTTAAGAAAATTTATGAGTCTTTGATATTTGTTATTCATTGTATTTAATAAGAAAGCTTTTACGCCTATGTGATGACGAAAGTATATGGTCGTCGTAAGAATAATCATATCATGATAAAATGATATACATAACGACTGCATAAGTTGATGTTTAGTTTAGATTAAAAAGTCAACATTTAAACAATCATAATGGCTACATATTTTGTTATAAAAAGAATTTCACGTTTATCTTCCTTGAGATGGCAAACATCAGTAAGATTATCATGTTAAAAATCTTTCTTTTATATGTTATTCATAAATATTATATATATTATATATTAAATATATAATAATAAAATCATATAATTTCTTTTTTTTTTTTCAGATGAAACACTATAGTAACATTGCTAATGTTGTAACTGAGCCACAATATCCTGGAATTAAAAATAATTTTACAAATCACCTAAAATTTATTAACATAGATAATTATGAATCTATTCCTATATATAGAATCTTAGATACAACTGGACAGTCACATTTTCTTGAAGAAAATAAGGTTTTCTAATTAATATGTATATTTATAAAAACCCTTATTCTTTTTTACAATTGCAAATCATAATAAGAAATATGTTTTCTATGTTAAAGTTGGATGATAAAACAATGATTAAAATTTATCGTGATATGGTAACTCTTACTATAATGGATAAAATTATGTACGAGTCACAACGACAAGGTCGTATATCTTTTTATATGACAAATACTGGAGAGGAAGCTGTTCAAATTGGTTCAGCTTCTGCGTTAACGTTACAAGATTTGATTTATGCACAATATCGGGAAGCAGGTAAGAATTTTAAAAAGCAGTTCTATTATAACACAGTTTTTAAAATATTTGTCTTATTTAAGTATTTTTACTTGGAATATAATATCGTTTCAAATTATAGGTGTATTACTTTGGCGTGGCTATCAAATCCCTAAATTTATGAATCAATGTTATGGGAATGTCGAAGATGAAGGAAAAGGAAAACAAATGCCAGTGCATTATGGATCGAAAGATTTAAATTTTATGACTATATCATCTCCGTTAACAACACAATTGCCACAAGGTTTTCTATTATATTCATTGAAATTATATTCATTTTGTAAATTCATATGATTAATATATTTTCTTATTTAAAATTATATATATAGCTGTAGGTGCAGCATATGCATATAAAAGGGAAAAAAGAAAATCATGTGTAATATGTTATTTCGGAGATGGTGCAGCCAGTGAAGGAGATGCTCATGCAGCTTTTAATTTTGCTGCTACTTTATCATGCCCAGTAATATTTTTCTGGTAAATTCTTAAATAATTATTCATTTAATTTCATTATAATTTCAATCGAAATTATATCAAATAATCAATATTTAATTAAGTCGGAACAATGGTTATGCTATATCAACACCTACGAATGAACAATATAAAGGAGATGGTATTGCAGCAAAAGGACCGAGTTATGGAATTGATACAATTCGAATAGATGGGAATGATGTACTTGCTGTACATTATGCGACAAAAGCTGCTCGTGATTTGTGCATAAATGAAGGAAAACCTGTTTTAATAGAAGCAATGACTTATCGGTATGAAAATAATATGGTTGAACACCATACTAATCATATTTCTCGAAATTATAATTAATCTAAAATATTTAATATTGTATTATCCATAGTGCTGGCCATCATAGTACATCCGATGATAGTACAGCATATAGAACCAATGAAGAAATTTCTCTTTGGAATAATACTACACCAATTCAAAGATTTAAACAATATATACAATCCTTAGGTCTTTGGAATCAAGAAAAAGAAGATGATATGCAAAAAATGATAAAGAAAGAAATTTTAGATGCTTTTTCTAAAGCAGAGAAAAAACCTAAACCTCATTGGAAAGAAATGTTCGCAGACACTTATTGTAACATGCCAGAACATATAAGGTATAATATATATATATATATATTATATAGTATATATTAAATAGAAATAATAAGGATTAATTTGTTATTATTCTGATAAATGTTTTTTTCTCTAAATTATGCTCGTTAATATTTTATATTTCAGAGACCAAATGCATTCCATGGAAGAACATCTTGCAATATATCAAGAACATTATCCATTGAAAAAATTTGATTTATAAATTATTTTTTAATTAGATAGTAAAATAAATATTATTTTGTTATTAATTATCATTTTTTGCAATAGTGTTGATAATAAAAAATTGATAACTGATAAACTATTATGCAGTAAAATAATTGTTATATTCACACACGTTTGTTAACAATGTCCCATATTATCTGTAACACATTAATTTTCATTGAAATTCCAGTATCATACTTTTGTAATGGTAATCAACGTAAAAAATATGTTTTGGGCTGTGGTTGGAATCTTTTCTTTGTGGTGCAGTAACAAACGTGTTAAGTATAAAAACATTCAAGTTTTTATATTAAATACAACAAATAATTTCGTATTCATAATTACTCTATTTTAATTTCTATTTATTATAATTAATATTATATAAGAGATTAACTGTAGAGAAAACTAATATCAATACAATTGAATTACCTCTATTATTTATTTGCATTATTATTATTTATTATATTATCAGCAATTTCTTTGTATTTTTCCAATCTAAATTCTTTCCTTGCTGCGCTAAGCAAAATATTGTGAAGTAAATTATGTTCATTTGGATAATTTTGTTCAACGCTTGGATATATATTTCCTGTTATTTGAAAAGTATATTATTATTATTATTATATCAAGAGAAAATCTTGTAATTTTTATAAAAATCTAAATAAAAAATATTATAATAAATTAACGTTACCTCTGAGTTCTAAAACAGCTCTTGGATATCTACTAGTAGGATACATGAACGGTGCTTTATGAAGTTTTGTATAAGAAACCGCATAGTCCTTGTACCTTGGTACGAGTACTTTAAAAAGTTTATGAACAAGTTGTTTCTCAAGAATCCAGAAATCTGCCAATTTCATTGTTGTTTCATGCTCCGGGCCATGACGAATAGCTTCTGATATTAACTGAATACAATAAATAAAATATTACTTTGACAAATTAACATAAAACTTATTTGTATTATTTATGCTTAATTTCTTTTTGTAGAACAAATGTTGAGTATGTTATTAAAAAAAGATAAGGAAAATAAAAATTACATATAAATGTGTAAATAATATCAAATACATACACGTTCAACATAACCTCTTGTTTCATCGGCTCGGCCATAATTTAATTCGATTCTTTCATATTTCACCAATGCTGTTAAAGTTTTTTGAATTTTTCGAATCCTTCCTTGCGGTCCATCTGAGCTTTTTAATTTACGTTTTGGTTTTACATTGTATTTTAATTTGGAAACTAAATTTTCGACATTAGCTTGATTCATGCTTCTACTCCTCTTGCAAGTTCGCAACAGACTGAAGTACACTACATAACGTCATAAATATTATAGTTAATGGTAAAAGTAATAAATTCAAACATTATTCAAAAAAATGATTAATAATAAAATTAACAAATTGTAATAAAATAAAATTTAATATGTCAGTTCAATTATATATGCAAATGAATTCATTAACTTATATCTACTGTTATAGTAATTATGAATAAAGTAAATCTATGAAAAGTATCTTTTTAAATATAAAAGTAATTTGTTTAAATTATTAATAAAATTCTTATTAAAAAGTTCTCGTAAATACCTTGTCCTTACTAAGAAAAATTTGTTTCCAGCACACAAGCAGCACATTCAAATCTTACACTAGTGTAATGTCATAATTTTATTTTTATTTAACATATTACAATAACATATACATTAAAAATAACAACGGTGCATCCTGACTCACTTCCTATGAATGAAGTATAGCTTATACCCATGATTGTAAATATTTATACATGAAAGTTTGATTTTCTGACGATATTGATCTGATGATATTAAGTGACGGTGCTTTGACACATTACATACTATCATTTAGAATTTATTTAATTATGCAAGACGAGTAAAAAATATGATAAAATATTTAAATTCTTCGGTCTATCGCTATGTATTAAAAATTACACCTGAAGTTAAAAGTTTTATACATTCATTATCATTCTACTAGTCCAAAAAAATGGATCATTAGATAGTCTTACATAATTTTCTAAATGTGTAACTAAACAAATGCATATTATTGGAATTTAGAGTTTAAGAATTGAAACCGTAAGATATACAGTTGATTTATAACTTGATCAATATACTCTGATGATATTGCGATTAATGATACTATTATGTTGATAAATAGTTGAATGCAGAAGTTAATGCACATTTATTTTAATGATAAATCATGTAATTATTTATCGTTGCACAGGAGGAGCCATTGGAAGACCAGAAGCACTAACATTAGAGATAGCAGAATTAGGTCCAAGTAACACCTGTTTTTGTTGAACGCGTTGAACTTCTTCCATTTGAGCACGCTCTACTTCGAAGAACACAGGTGCAAATAAAATAGCAGATGAACTAAACAAGAGCCATGTTGCCGAACATGAAAATGTATATAAACCTGAAAAGAAATAAAAACATTTCAAAGTTAAATCTAATTTTTAATTAGATCGATTAATAAATGATAGAAAAATTAATGTTAGATTTGTAACAAACCTTTGACACAAGTGCACATACAAGATCCAACATTATATCCAACTTTGCGAACATTTTCAGGAAACATTTCAGTAAGTCCTAATAACCTTTCTGAAAAGCTTTCATCCTAAATGAAATAAAATGATTAATAATGATTAATAGTTAAGGTATATATTGAAATCTTGTTTAATATAATAAAAAATACTATTTGTGTTATTGATATAAAATTATAATATAAAAGAAAAAAATAGAAAAAAGGAGAATAACAAATTAAATAAAAAGATATTAATTATTAATGGAAAATATTGAATGAGTGTAATCGAAATATTATAATAACCATATATGGGATAAATTTGTTCGATCATAGATATATCATAGATATATATTAGCAGAAAATAAATACCTCCTCGTCTTCTTCTTCATTAGGAAGAAGAGATTTTACTTCTGGAGAACGTACGTCGCTGCTACCCATACCGCTGTCCAGCTGATCTATTTCTTCGATTGAAGCCATATATACAGATGTATATGTAATTAGATATATAAATAATTAATAATATACTAATATGTTAAGTAAACGAGTTTACTTAATCTTGTTAACAGGGTTACGAATAATTCTCTCTCACCCAACTTCGACAAAGTACTACTATATAACTAAAAGCAACTCTCGGTCACGTTTCTAGTACTTACTGTACCTATTTTGATAGGAGAATATGCCGGTACAACGTGACTCAAGTTAAATCGCGCGTCATACAAATTTATTTTCGAACAGATAATATTTGATAAACAAAATATACATACGTATTTATTATGAAAATTATTTTCAAAAGATTTGTTGAAAAACTATTTTAATAATAAATAATTAGAAAATCGCAAACATACGATTTGTTCGTATAATGAATTTTTTATTTTACAAAATTCACTGAATTTAATGTCAAAAGAGAAACTCTTTAACATTAAATTTGATCAGAATTAGATTTGTTTTATTAGTAATATATATTCATGTTATTATTATATCGAAATTAATCGAATAAAGTTATTTTCATTTTAAAAACGAGCAGGATCGTAATATTTGAGAATTTAAGACATATTTTAAATGTACTAATATGTTCATATTTTATTAAGTGATATTAAAGAAAATACCAATCACTAACATTTCTCTCAAGATATTTAGCTATTGAACTGTTAAAAATAAGTTCATTGAATTAGCATTCTTAATCGTCATTGGTCATTAAAAGATCGAATGAAAAAATACATATATACATTTGTGTGTATTATTATACAAGAAATAATTTTTTAATTTTTATTTTCATTATATTTATATTTATATTTATATTAAATATTCTTAGATTTGTTTAAAAAATTCTCTAAATGTTAATTGTAAATCATGATAAGAAAAAAGGACTAAATATTTTTTTTAACAAGATGAATAATATTTGTATAAAGCATAGAAGAACAGCGCTAATAATGTGTTTATTTCTTTTTTATCTGAAATATTTAATTTTATAATTTTGTTCAATACAATATTTTAACATTGATACTGCTGCTATTTACATTTATTTGAATATAATAATATCTACACCATCTTTTTACGCGTAGAATCAATTAATTTGCTCTATGAAAAAATACATTCATTTATTATGTTAATGATAAAAAATTACTATATATTATGTTTGAAAAATATTGTTATTAAAAGACATAAAAAATTATCTGTACTTTTCTCTAAATATGAATCAAATAAACAGAATATGTTGCATGTTTATTTTAGAGGTAATAAGTGATGATTATATTTCCTTTTTTATAGGAAATTCTGCATATCACAATGTCAAATTTGGTACGTATGGTACCTAATATTTAAAGAATACATTTTGTACAATAAATCTATACATTGCTATCTACTTGTGATAATATGAGAATATCACAGCTTTTATACAAATGTTCTTAGTCATTGAGATCTAACTCGTGGTAAGATTTAGTAATATTTATATATATATAATGCAATATAATTTTGTTAATGATGTATAATAATTACTGTATATGCTTTTCAATAATACGGAATCCACGATTGTTATTAATATATGCAGTAATGCAATAATTGAATATAATTAAATTTATATGAAAAACAGTTTTTACAAATATTCATTTGCAGAAATATAACATTCAATACTGTTTTTAATGTTAATATTTTCTCCAAGTGTGTATATATAGAAGTAGATTTTAAAATATTCATTGTTTGAAAGCATACATCAACAAAAATAATCTTTACATATTTCTCCTTTTTATCTATCTTTGTTTTAATAGAGTTTAATTTTTTAAATTCTATTTCAATTCTTTGCTAATTATACGGAATTATATTATTAAAGCAAATAGAGTAATTCTAGATATTCTTTTTCTTTCTTTCCTTTCTTTCTACGTACTGTTTTCTTTGCAGATCCACAAATTTAAATACTATAAGTTCAGTTATTCAAATAATTTACTTCATCAAGCTTTAAAAAATCGCACAACTCTAACAACATACTGCTTACATATTGGGCATTCAGACATTCGTTTTCCACAATTAATACAACATGCCATGTGACCACATTCTAGAATTACACATTCAATCGGTGCATCCCAGCAAATTTTACAAATATCTTCTGTATCTATATTATCCATATCTATGTGAATATATTTGTATTAATTATTATTCACTTCAATGTTTATCATTAATATTATTTTCCATTGTAAATGTATTTTAAATATTACCTGCTCTAGCTTGATTATGTTCTTCCCATAATCTAGATGCTCTGTCCAATAATTCACACCTTTCAACACAACCTTTAAAGTCAACACGATTTGTTATTAAAAGAGTTTTTAATTGTTTCACACTTAAGTGTTCCAATTGTGATAATTCATTTATATCTGATAGCTTGACAAGACCAGACCACTGTTTCAACAAAATGGTTTTTAGTCTTAATATTAGATATAAATAAAAAAGAGATATGATATATATATGTATACATATATATATTTATATATTTCTAAAAATTAATAAAACATACCACAGGAATTTCTGTTAACATAGTCGATTGTTTTATATCTAATGTTTCTGAATCTTCATCTTGTTCAGTAATTAAAGGTTCTGGTCCATTATCTGGACTATAATCACTTGCTGATACTTCTTCTATTTCTATGTTATTAACTGTTACACATTCTGATTGGAATTCAGTGTGTTCTGTTGTACTTGTTTCCTCACTTATTACATTTGTATAATTTTCTAATTGTATTGGTGTATCAGGTAACGTAATATCTGCAGTACTTGTTTGACTATCAATAATAAATAAATAATTAATAATACATCAAGAATAATAATTCATTGTCATATGAATCTTTTCACTTTAAATTTGTGTTTTCAAAATATATAGATACATACGGTAATTCTTCTGTAACAGTATTCTGCATTATCGTAGAATTTCTTTCTTCTTCTAAATTATCTGCTGTACCATTTGCATATATCAATAGTAAGTTTACCAAGTCTTCTTTTTCTATGATGATGATGATGATGATGATGATAATGATGATTATAATATTATTAATAGATTTCAATATATACATATATATAATTGTTATTTATTACATACCAACGCATCCTTTAATAGATACTTTTTTTGCTAAAAGAAATTGGCGTAAATCCCTGGAACGCATTCGCATAATTTGACTGCGAATAAGCGGTCTTTGCGATAGCACACCACAATTCTCACAATTAAATGTTTTGTCAATACGTTTTATAAGACATTCTGAACAAAAATAACGTAGACAGCCTGTACATTGTTTCTAAAATATAAAAGTTGTAACAATTTGAGGTTTGGTATTACATATTCTGATAAGAAATGAATACTTAGAAATAAAACAAAACGAAAATATATGAAATAAAAAGATTGTTAGTGTTTACACAAAATTATATAATAACAAAACTATTAATTGTATCTTAATCAAAACGTTAATATTAATATATTACATTGTTTGTATATTTTTCTTGTTTTTTCGAGATAATAAATAATACTCACTCTACGTTTAAATAAATTAAATTTAGATTTGCATGCCTCGCAAGCCATTTTTATATGATATAATTGTCTAAAGTTTAGGTTTTTCGAAAATTGTCGGTTATGACATGAACAAGGTTGCTGTGTTGGCAAACGTATCACTAAATCTAGTGATTTCGATGTTATCTGGATTTGATGAAATTATTGACGATTGTCAACAAAATCGAACAATGATTTTATTGTTAATTATTAATCATCGAATAGAGATTGACGTTGATTGAATTTTTTTTGTTAATCTTACAAAATTATTCCATTCTAACGAAGACAAATGTTTTAATGGTGTTTCCTATAGCTATTACTAATAATAATATCGCACCTAGCGATATCTATCTCTTCTCTTCATATCTGTCTTCTTAAATGAACATGACAATGCGTCACATTGCTAATAAATTGTTAACATTATACAATAAACATTTATAATGATTATCTTGTTTTAATATAAATATATTATTTACACGATCAAGTATCAATTGGACGATATGAGCGTATTTTTTTGACTCCATGTTCACCCACTAAAACGTACATTTTGACACTGAGTGTGAGCTGGCCAACTTTTTGTTCTTCCTGTTTTATCTACCCTACCACAACCACACTTTGACGTCATATTATCATTGTTATTATCTATTTCTTTATTATTATATTAAATATTCATTAGTGTTTTGATCATACATTGTTAATTAATTCAATTATATATGTTGGTCGTTGTTGTAAACGTGTATTATTATATTTAAAATAACAAAATTAATAAGTATTTATACGCTTCTGTGTGATATTTAAAATATCGATTCTTTTTTTACTTCGATATATTAAGTATCGATCTTTTTATATCGATATTATTAAAACATCGATGCTAATTTGAAAAAAAAGATAAAGTAATACGAGTTTATTAAAGAAAAAGTTAAAATAAATATTAAATTTGTTAATATATATGCATAAATAAATAATTAACTAATTATAATGAATATTAGGAAAAGTGTGTAAGATTATCTGTGAAAGAAAAATAATGTCTGACGCCAATTATAATTAAATTAT